AAAAAAAAAAAAAAAAAAAACAATTCACATAAAAATGTACAAATAACACAGTTGAAAAGCATCTAAACTCACAGAGGAAAAAGTAATACCAAAAAAAAATCAACTGGATAAAAGAATAAAGCCATGAAGTTGAATAGCTCTGATTTTAAAATTACATGTTAGCAACAATATAACAAATGTGTCTGGATATAAACACATCCTTAGAATTCTCAGAAATGGAATTACTGTGTAAAAATTTATGGACATGCTTTTATTACAGATATAATAACTTTTCAGTTCATTAACAACTAAACTGTATTTTTGTCATAAAATTTTTTTAACTGTGTATCTCTTAAACTTCACTCTTTGACATGCTCCAACAATGTTCCATTCCCACAACATGCCCGCTTTTCCTGTCTTGGGAGCTTTGCCAATGCTATTTCTTCTGTTTGGGTTGGTCTCCCAATTTCCACTCCCCATTCATAAACTCCTTCTCCTGGTCTTCTCATGATCCCTTGAGGATTTATCTCTGACACTCTGGATGGCCCTTCCTGGGAGATCACCTCTAAAAACTCACAGCCACACTCTGCGCTGAAAACTTTCAACAACTTGCTTTCCTAAAACTCAAGGGTACAGTGTCACCTACTATGGTAATCAGTACAGCACAGTCCTTCTCTTTTGACACACTCTATTTGACATTTTTTCTTTTATACATCAAGCTGCTAAGTGCTAATAAAACACATAATAAAACAGTAAATGGCCTTTGTATTAATCTTAAGTACTGCTGCCTGTAATATGATTTTCAAAGCTACATTCTTCAATTACATAAACCTCATGGGGCTGATGATTAATGTCTTTTACACATACAAAAGCAGCACTGCGGCTGTCCTATACTTTATGCCAAGTATGCATTTTTTCCTCCTTCTTTAAAAAAGTACAGATTTTAGTTAGTGCTCAAGAAGTGTCACACCAAGAGTACACATGACCTCAGCTTAGCCATAGGGAAAAACTTACTCATTGCACTGGTGCAGCCTACACCCACTTCAGAAAATTCAATTTTCCTGTAAACAACCATCTGATATTGCTGAAAGTGCTGCCATTGCCAGGAGGAAGTGACCTGGATTCCCACAAGCAAATACCTTTAAGAGTCTAGTAACAGCTACTGGGCCTGAGCCTGTGAGTCATTAACGTTATTAGACACGTCTGTAGCGTTTAGGATTTGCAGGGTGTTTTATAATGCCTTTCCTTAGTCACAGCTCAAGACTTGTGAAGGAAGCAGCTCTTGTCATTATTGCTTTGTAATTTGGATGCTGATCCACAGAAAGGTTAAATACCGTTTCCTGGGTCAGGGAGAGTTTTCCTGACAGAGTTACTCCAGCATTCATTGCTGCTGACACGAGGCTCTGAGGAGAAGCACATGGAGGAGGTGAGGAGAAGCCCTGGGCTATGATGAGACTGCGGTATCACCAGCACATCACCAGAGACAGGCTCTCTTAGATGCCATTGAAGACGACTGACTATGATGAAACTTGCGGGTATGTCCAATTCTTACTAATACTGAATAACTTTATCCTCAGAACTCCTGGGGAACAGCAAAGTCACAAACTGACATAGAATGGGAGGGGCATGAAAGAAAGCTCACTGACACTTGTCACTATACACGTACCAAGATTTTCCATTTATATTACGTCGATGCTAACGCACATAGTTTATATTTACCAACACTGAGTCCTGTTGTATATCCTGAAAGCACCAGGCATTGTTTGAGTTTTCTTTTTTGCTTGAGATTTATCTTCTATATTTACTTAGCATTATATAAATATCAGGGGTACAGGAATGTCTTAATTTCTCTTCTCATTGCTGAGACATCCAACGTGAAGGGAGGAAAGGTCTATTTGGCTCACAGTTTGTAGGGGTTCCAGTCCATAGTCACTTGGTGCCAAGGCAGACAAACATCGCAGAGGAGAAACAGTCCATGGCAGGCACCAGGTAGCAAAGCAACAAGGGACATTCATAACTCTTGCTATCCCTTATATCATGTCCAGGAGACTCAGGGTGAGTAGCACTCACACCCTTAATCCTAGTGCCCTTGATCCCAGCATCACACACTCTAGATCCAGCCACCTCTGAAAAAGCCCCACCTATGACCACATGAGGCTTTGGGGGTGACATCTAGACACAAGCCACAACAAGTAACATTTTCCAATTTGCACTGTGTGGTTGAAAAACTTAAAATTTTTCCTCCCAAGATCTGACAAGTATAAAATTTTAAATACTTCACAGATTATGTGTATATTATATTTATGCAAAGCATGTGTGTGTGTGTGTGTTTTGGATGATCCATGGTTTTTGCACCATTGTTCAGCATTGCAAATAGTCAACATTGCCATTTCCTTTTTAAGGGTCAACAGTGGGATTTTATTGTCAAAGGAACCCTATCACTTCTCAGAGTAACAGTGCTTTCAGGAAGTTAAGTGATTCGTCAAACATAGCACAGCTGCCCAGCATGCCTTGCTCCCAGCTCCTCCTGTCCTGGCCATGTTATGCCTAGCAGTATTGATACCCACAAATATGTGAAAAATTACATTCGTGAGGAAATTTTAATTTAGGGGAAAACATGAGTGCAGAGACTCCATTAGTAACAAGAGTTATAAATCAAATACAGATTGGGATTTAGTGCTGAAAATACTCAGAAATCACAGGATTTGAAAACCTTTCATCACCACTGCATGACCCCTAATCCCGGTTTACCTCGTGTCCTAAGGCACATGGGCAAGGGGAGGATGGAAACCCAGATTCATTCTGGAGGCTGACTGTGACTTCTATTCTAGACTCTAGCTCCTTATAGGCATTTGTTTAATCAGACTGCCTCTGCACATGGAGAGACACAGTATCCGCCATTTCGTTCTTAGAAAGCAAAGTAATTTTGCAAAAATCGGATCTGTAGTCTTCTATATCTCTTTGTTCCAATTACCAACATACTTTTGTTACACTATGGTTCATGGACACACTGATCATAAAAACTTGGCAGCTCTGAAAAGTTAATGGTGTCTAAACTGAGGAAGGACCTAAAGCTTCCGATCTTCGAACTTCTTTCAGTCACATCACCCTCTAAGCAGAGATGAAGCGTGGTCTTTTAACTCCGTTTTTCAGCAGCAAACTGAAGATTTTTCACTGTGGGATTTGGGGGTTTGGTTTGTTTCCCTCAGCCCTGTGACCATGACTTTCCTAGCATGTGACAGAGTTCATTGTCTTTCTTTTGAGTTCTCCAAATGGTCCCCACAGAAAACACTTGGCATCCGCAGCAGCACAGGCAGACCACAGTCTCCAGAATTGAGGAAATGTTGGAAGCAGTTAATATATTCAGCTGAGCATTCTTCCTTGCACTGGGAGCGAGAGCCTGATTTGGACCTTAAAATCTTAATGGCAACAACAAACAAACACTGACCCAGAAAAATTTGCCTCTTCGTAGGCAAAACATGACAGGTAATATGAGAATAGGTTTGAAGTATTTGTAGTCTCTCTTTACATTAAAAAAAAAAGATCACCAGCCCATACAGGCCACTTTATGGAGTCATTCAGTTCTGCATCCCCTGTGTGTGATCCAGGGCTCTTTGCATCTTTGACTGCCTCCCAGCACCTGAGGGTCAAGTATCCCACTGAGAGCTTGGAAAGGAAAGCCAAGAAGATTTGGAGCTGGTGCGGATGACTGTCGAGCACAGATGGCCAGTTATCGATGTAATCTGTGTATCTGGGAGGCATGTGCTGTAAGGAGGCAGCTGCTAACCCAAATGAATCAAGCCACAGTTTTTAAGAAGGGAGAAAAGGTGGATTGGAAAAGGATGGTGGTTTTTTAATATTTTCAGCTGTAGAGGGCTGTGATCGATGGTTAAAAATCAGTATTGTAATCACTGATTGATTTAGGGGCTTCCCCATTACAACCCTAAAGCAGGTCAGAGCAATAAGCCATGTCACTGGGGTAAGGAAGAGACATTTTGCAAGGTCATCCTTAACATTGTTTTCCTGGTATGCTGGATGTATTGTTACTGCTAATTCTCTCTATTTTGAAATAAACTAGCAGGTCCATATTTGGAAGAAGATATTGACCTGTCATTTTCTAATGGGAATAGAAGAGGGAATGCTTTTACTCCTTTTATTGACAATCTGTATGGTTGAATAACTTCTGGATTTTCTATCTATCCATGGTGTAGCCCCATAATGTTACCGGAAAATGAGCCAACATTACTTTGTTCTGGCTGTGTGCGCAGCACTGAATTCTAATTGTGTTTCTGAATCTAAGTCCCAGAATGGAAACTGCCAAGATCCATTCATTTTGATAAATCAACTGTTTCAGATGGCTATCTACACTCAACTGCAGCTGCTGTGGGTTTTTTTTTTCCCCTTGCAAAATGATTATGAAGTAAATGTGCTCCAGCTATTGCTCACATGGTTTTATAGAACTAATGAATTGCTCTGGGAAGCCTGTTATGAAGAGTTTTGATCAATTATTGTATACACATTGTTTAAAAGGAAATATATCATAATTAGGCCAAGAAATCTGTGAGGCTGCCTCTCCTGATGAATGAATTCCTTGGGGGTAGGTGAGGAGTGGTAGGCACATAGGGGTACTTTGAATTTTTCTGGTTATTGATTTTTTATACATTACAATATGATGCATTAACCAACATTGGCTCGTAATTGCTCTTTGTCCAGAGTTTAATAGAGGCAAAATACCTTGTGGTCCCTTTAAAAAATGTTTTCAAAGTGAGAAAGAAAAGCATATGGTCGTCAAGCAATACTATGGAGAACATTCACTTAGATCAAAATGAGAAAATGCATTTCAGCTGTCACTACCATGGCATTACAGCCCTTCTTCAATCGCATTTACGTTGCCAACAAGAATCCTCACCAGATCAAAATGATTAGAATCAGGCCCAAGACAGCTGCGGCCTAGATAAAGGAAAACCCAATGATTCTCAGTCTCCTAGAAACCAAGATACAGGATATGTCATTGATAGCCAATTAGTGATCTGTTCTACACCCAGTACCTCTCATCTGAGTGTGACATTTCCTATATCGTCACTGAACCATTGTTGCTTGTTACAGTTTCAAAAGAAAACAGGTTTTGTTTTCTTCAAAGCTTTCTACTGCAAAGTCTGGGGCTCAGACACCAAGTGATAATAAAGTCAGAGATGATTTGAATAGTCTATAAAAGGAATCATCAGTCCAATCAACTACTGACTGAAGTGGGTTCTTTTTTGGGGGGTACAGGGATTGAACTCAGGACCTCTCCCTTACCAGGCAGGCTCTGTGCCACTGAACTATATCCCTGGCCCCTTCAATCAACTACAATGTTCTTTATTCTATTAATTTTTTTCTAGTAATTTCATGGCTCAAACACTGAAGAGAAATTGGCATGTAAATATACTCTACACTAGGGACTACCAAATGATAGAGTATGATTCTGGACTTATTAAAATATGAAAAATAAATAAATAAAAACAAAATGTGAAAGCACATATCATATAAAAGGAGAGAAAGTACAACATGAAGTTTTGCACATTGATAAGAAATTAGCCCTTTAAGCCTAGGTATAAACATTAAAGACAAAGTAACAAACTCTAGGAAGCAAAGCTTTAAGAATTAAGAACCGTATGAGGCAGGTAAGTGTTGGTCTGATCAAAGACATTTGTACTCTGTACCTAAATCAGAGACAGTCTCTGGGACTCAGCAAAGCATCTTTGTAACATCTTCCTCTGTCCTGTAAAAGAAGTCCAAACCAGATCCTTACGTGAGACTCCATTCCCTTGCAAGTGAGTACTCTGGTCCTTATCAAAGGAATCGTCCTCAGGAATTCTCAGGTCTCCTAGAGTTTCTTGTAAATTTACATTCCTTTCTGTAATGAAGCTGCTCTCTCCCTAAAACAAAAATAAGAACACCACGTATAAAGAGAGTTTGAAAAACAGTGTCCGTAGAGTTAAGTCACTGGTAACAGTTTCGATTTTAAAGCAGTATTGATTGCCACACTCTTTCATCTCCTACCTCACGTTTGTACAGATGAGGCTGTTTGAGGCATGAACCTCAGGCTCACACCTCTGAGGACCAAGAGTAAATACCTGAGGCACACAGGAAGCCATTCATGCAGGAAGCTCGGCCACCCAGCAGAAACTGCCGGCCTTTTCGGTTACATTGACCTGTTCTTCTATCTGGTGAAGCCTGTGAACCCCTTCTCAAAATATTTTTAAATGCACAAACTAAAATTCATGCAATTGAAAATAATGCTGATTGTATTGAAATGTAGCTCATAAATGCATTAAATGTACAGCAGTATATGTATTTATTGAAGCAAGAAATGAGATCAGCGTTAATTTCAAAGAAGTTACAAGTAACATGTCTAGAGATCTACAATTACATTGCGATATGAAAATATTTTTTATTTGTATTAGAGACAAAATCATGCTGAAGTTTGTAGCTTGTGCCCATGGTTAAATGCCAAATGTTAGTCCAACGTGAGAGGAAATGAGGATGTAAGTTT